AGGGAATGTGAGGATGGCACAGAATAGAAAAGGGTCCAGATCTGTTTTTCATAGGGTCACTCATTATAAGTAGTAATAAACTCAATGATACCTAAAAATAACACTATTATATGTAATATTATAGATACATAATATAAACCAGGCATCCAGTATAATTAAAATGGAAAAATAGTGGAGACTGAAATATTGACAGCTCAAGGCTATTCAGCCAATTTGGTTTGTGTTTGAGGTGCTGAATTAGAGGGTTAGGTATTAGTTTGGAGTTGGCTTGGTTGGCCTGCAGGAGTAGACACTGTTTCTATAGGCAAAGAAGAGTCTACTTCTTGCTTTCAGACATCCTGAAAAGTTGACTCCAAAGAGAACCTGAATCCGGCCTGAGTTGACTTTCCATTCATATAACCTGGAAAATGTAGCTAAATGTGCTAGAGTTAGGAGTTCAAGAAAGAGATGAGCAGACAGGACAATTTGTAACAGCACGCGGTGCCAATCTTGATGTTGCAGGGAGTAGGGCTTCTTTAGAAAGAGATTAACTTTTCTTATTTGTGGGTTCCTCACTTGGGAATAGGGGCACAACCTCTCTGGTTGCTTCATGCTGAATAGGGGTATTGAGATGAAGAGGGGCTCCCTTTAACCCTTTACTGGTGGTCTTGAGTTGAAGTTCATGCCTTCTTGTTAAAAGATTTCTCAAGGTTCTGTCTTCTGGACTGCAAGATGTTTGCAAGGTTGAGTCCAGAGGGAGTTGCTGGCTGAACTTCAAGGCTCTAACTACTTTCGTTCTCTTAGCTGGTAGTCTTATCTCTGAAACAGGGCTCAGGTTTCAGATTCTGGAACAAAACTTAGTGTTCAGGTTACTCTTAGGAAAGGTAGCAAACCTAGAAAAAACAAAACTTGTGAGTTATAAAGAAAAAGGATTTCGGAGGTGTTTACTTACTGGTGTACTTGAGGAGGATATGGAGGAAAGTGGCCTAGGTAAAGTTTCTCATACACAGTTTTATGGGCTTAATTTAAGCCAACTTCTGGTGCTCCTTTAATTCAGAGCAAAGCTAAAGCAACCCCTAATTATACTAGAAATGTGTTTCCTGACAGGGCTCAGCCATCCACTTCATTTCCATTGCCACTCTGAAGGCTTTTAGAAACTCAAATTTGATCTTTTACTTCTTCAGATTATTTTTTACGATCTTTTCAGGCATGGCCTACAAGAGACTCCCACCTGTATGTTCTGGGCTTTAGGGTGGGGGGGGGAAGTTACTTGTGCAGGCAGTTTTGTTTTAAGAGCAGACTATCTTAACTGGACAGACATGCATAGAAAGAGTCATTTTTCTTCTTTCTCAGTGAAAAACTACAGGGTTAGAGTTTCAGGAAGATCTGGTTTTTAGATCTTTCTGAGACCCTGAGCTGTCACTATTTCCTGGGGTCCTTGGTATGTGTATTTGAGGGAGGCAACGAGATGACAGAAGTCACTGACAAACCTAACTGAACTTCCTCCCACTCTGGCCCTTTCGGACCTTTTCAGAGGGATCAGCAAGTTCAGTCATCCTTCCAAATGGAAGGCGCTTCGTTTTTGAATAGGACTTTCCCCAAGATCTGATAGGCCTTCTTCTAGTGACTTTGCTTTTTTGTAATATATATTCCTCCTTGTCTGCCGAGTCTTGTTTTTCTCAGGGTCCCATATTCTTACCTTTGGTGTTTTTTCTAAAGACTGTATTATCTGGAGGTGTCTGGCATTCTCAGATGTTGAATACCTTGAATGCACTGTCGACCAGTAGAGTTTGTGCCAATGGCTCAGTCTATCTTTTGTCGTCTCCTCCTAATGTCAGGAATGCTCTGGGAAACAAAAATCAGGTTAATCATTCAGATACTAGGTAAGTCTTCTGGGCTAGGGTCTGTGTACTTACAGAAAACTTGGTGCAGCCTTTCAAAAACTGGAAAGGATTTCCATTTGGTTGCTGCCAAATGGCTCCTGTCATTTTCAGGCTTGGAGCTTCCTTTCTTCTTCTTGGTCTTAAAGACTATACTTTTTGTGCAGTCCTTGCCATAAGCTTCTGTCATTTGAATACTAATTAGGCTTAGTGAAGAAATTGCTTTAGAATAAGCCCCATGAAAGCTGCTACTATTTTTCTTTTCAATTCACTAGCCAGAAGCTTGATTTAAAAAACTTAAATCTCTGCTCACATAGCAAAGAAAACAGTGATTATTAAGTCTGTTTATTTTATTATTAAGTCTGTCACCTTAATAGGAAGAGTGGTTTTTTTTGTTTTGTTTTTTTTACTTTGACTTATCTGAGGCAGAGAGAAAAGAGAATGCCCATCTACATTAGAGTCTCTGGATAACTACCTGAAGGGGTATTGTTTGGACTTGTTCTAAGCAGCCTTGGCTGAAACGGTAAAAAAAATTCTATCTAAGCCACTTTTCCTCAGTTCTCCTGGCAAGTGACATTGACTCTAGGTTTTCACTACTAAGTGTCACTGTTGTTGTTGTTGTTATGTGCTGTCAAGTCACTTGAGACTCATAGTACAACAGCCCTAAATTCTGCTCTGTCCTGTGCCAATCGCACCATCTCTGACACTCCCATTCCGATTATCCCAGTCACTGAATCAATCCACCTCATAGAGGGCCTTCCCCTCCGGCGCTGTCCCTCCACCCTCCCAAGCATGATGTCCTTCTCCAAGGACCGGCCTCTCATCACAACATGTCCAAAGGAGCCACCAGGTTTAACCCTTTCCAGGATGAATCTGTTTGTTTTCTCCAGCACCACAGCTCAAAGACATCAATTCTCCTTCTATCCTCCCTAGTCATTGTCTGACTCTGATGCATAACAAGTTATTGCAAAGACCATGGCCTGTATCAGGCGCACCTTAGTCTCCAGAGAGACACCGTTGATCTTGAGTACTTTAGAGAGGTCCCTAACAGCAGACTTTCCCATGGCAATGCGCCTTTTAATTTCCTGGCTACTTGTGTCACTAGCATATCAAAACCCACTGGCTTGATTTGGACACTATCTGAAATTTGTACTTTCTTTTTTGTATTCATTAAGCAAGCACCCTCTATAATCTCCTTCTTATGGTACAGAATATTAAAGGTTAATGTGTACAGATTGTACTAAATTTCTTTGACCTCTGGTGAAATAATGTTACTTGCTGAATAATTTAAAGGTCTGTACAAAGGGGACTTTTTCTTTTCACCAAAACCTAAATAAAATACAAAGGCTAAATTTTTACTGAAATAAAAAAGATACTCTTTTGGCTAAGGATAGTATTAGCAAACAGGCCAATCACACAGAATTATTTTCTTCCCCCTTAATTATTATTATTATTATTAATTTTAATGAAAATTTATAGAGACTTTGGATTTCCATTTATTCATTGTTGCGCTTTTCTCCCTGCCCACCCCTCCCCCCTCCCCACAGTTCACTGTTCTCTTTGAAAAGTAAAATTCTAAAAAAAAAAAGTAAAATTCTTTCATTGTTATACAATCCCTCCCCCAAGTTCATTCCACTATGCAGCCTTCGCTCTGGACTCCTGTCTTGACAATAATACCTAATCACACACCCCTTTTAAACAGTTTTCTCCCTCATCTGTTTCAAAGCAGCATACATTATTTATCCCATCATTCTCAGTATCCCCCCAACCCCAATGTCAGTCCCATTTTACAATAGTAGCACTATGCAGTATTTGTCCTTTTTTAACTAAGATATTTTACTCACCAAAATGTCCTCCAGGGTCACCCATTTTGTATAATATTCATTAATTCCTTATTTTTCAATGCTGCATAGTATTCCATTGTGTGAATATATCAGAGCTTCTCTATCCATTTGTTTGTTGATGGACACTTGGGTTGTTTCCAGCTCTTTGCTATTACAAACAAAGACACAATAAACATGGGTGTGCATGGGCAGAAGACTCTTAACTCTGGTTCAATCACATAGCAGTCTCCCAAGATCTGCTCCATCTCATGTCAGGTCTCTGGTTCTCAGTGGTGTCTGCTATGGGACTGCTCCCTTAGGATCTGGTCTGGTGCAAGAATCTCTGGTCTTGAAGGACGTTTACATTTTCTTGTTTCTTCTCTGCTGGAGGTAAGGTTTTTGCCAATTCTGCTGCTGGATCAGCTCAATTTAATGGTAAGTCTAGCCAATCCCCTTGTGGATAGGTAACACATCCTATTCACATAATGCCACCCATCCCACATGGCAAAGTAAATTAATGATCTGAGAAGCCATTTTGAACATTAAACCCTGAAGGCTGCTGTCCATGATCCTCTGTAGCAAGCATCGCAAATCCTCCTTGCTTTCAGCAAACAAGGCTGTATCATCTGCATAAAGCACACTGAGTCTGTCTCTAATCCTGACACCACAGTCTTTTTCATAAAGTCCAATTTTGCAAATTATTTTCTCAGCATACAGAGTATACAGAGATAGATTTGGAGAAAGGATACAGCCCTGGGACACACTTTTCCCAATTTTTAACCATACAGTGTTTCCTTGCTCTGTTTGTACAACAGCTTCTTGGCATAGGTGTTGTAAAGCATAATCAAGTGTTCTAAAATTTCCTTTCTTCTCAATATTAGTCATAGAAATGCATTAATTAGTATAATCAATCAGGACTATAATTTAATTCCTTCCATAGTCTGTAGTTGCAATTCTGGAGCTAGTTATTTATAAAGTTCCACTGTTAGAAGAAAAGAAGGGAAGGAATGATGTATACTTCATTGCAACAGATGAGGGAGAGGACTGTTTAAAGGGATATATGATTAGGTATTATTGTCATGACAGGAGTCCAGAATGAAGGCTGCACAGTGCAATGGACTTGGAGGGAGGGATTGCATAACAATGAAAGAATTTTTCTTTTACTTATCAAGGAGACTGACTGTGCCAGTCAGAAAAGTGAATTGGAAAGGGAGAAAAGTGCAACAATGACTGACTGGAAACCCTAAGTCTCTGTAAACTTTCATTAACATGAATTTTAAAAAAAGATTTAGAAAAAAAAATTTTTTAGGAAGGATATTCATTCCTTTTCTGGTTTTAGTAAGAGGGTATATCTTTCTTTATAATTTCTTCTTAGATTGGGGTATTCCATTATAAAATCTCCAAAGTAAATATATAGATGTTTTTTTGCCCTGGAAGCCAAACAGAGCAGAAGACTGTGGGAAAGCTCTGACTCAGCACCTTTTGGGTTGATTCCAAACACAATGTTTCTTTCCAGACCTGAAAATCTACGGATGCTGTCAAAAGTGATGTCACTGGATAAAATGGATACATTGTTGATATGAGATACACCGTTGTTGGTATTAATTGTCCTTTCTATTTCATTTAAAACTATATCTTTACATGACACTTCACTTACTCTGCCAAAAAGTATAGCAATATCCTTGGGAGAATAAGCCTTCTTGAAGAGAAACTGGCACTTGTTTGCCACTTCGATTGCAATCCTTTTCAAGGTCGGGAAGTGCTTAAGCTCGAAGTAGCCTGAAACGCCCTGAGCCCACTGAGCTGTACAGAGCATTTCCAGGTACTGGGGAGGGATGTTAGGCAGAGGACTTGCTCTCACGGCCTGCATTTCTTTCTGTAGGTAGTTGGCTATTGGATCTGCATTTCTAACCACCTTTGTGAGCTCTTCTTTTGGATACTGGGCCGAGAAAACAGGGAGGCCGGTGATATCCAGGTGGCTAGTCTGGAAGTAGTCCAGAAAGATCCAGAGAATTCCTGGGCCATCCTTTTCTCTCCAAGTGATGCTTTTTGCCTTGTCGTACCAGCAACCATCTTCAGTGCGGAAGTTCTGTGCTTCATCAATGATGATATGTCGGATCTTCTCAAAGTTACCTTTCATGAAAGTTTTCCGGGTCACCGCATGGCAAATATTTTTATTGCTGTAAAAAAGTGAAATAACACATTTAGGCTGACTCCAAGAAAATAAAGGGAGAAAATTAATCAATCATACTTCTCTGAATTGAGTACACTGTGGTTCATTTTATCATATAACTCTCAAAGAACAAGGGTATTCACAGAGAAAAATTAATCCAGATTAAACCTCAACCAGATGGATTGGGACTGGGACTGCTCAAATGGGCTCAAGTATGTCAGAAAGATGAGGATGCCACAGGCTAGGACAGGATTCAGTTCCATTGTTCATAGGGTCTCTGAGAGCTATACTCAACTAGATGACACCTAACAATGACAACATACAATGAAGAACACGGCATCAGGATGGACTGGAGGAAGGCTAATTAATGCTGGCCAAAAGTAAAGATGACTTGAAACATCTTCTGCCTCACCTTTTTAACTTTCTACTGAAGGGAGCTCTCTGGTGGCCTAGCAGGAAGAAGCTGTCATCCCAAAGGCACACAGTTTGAATCCATCAACTGCTCTGTAGGAGAAAGATGGACAATCTCCTGTGTGATTAGACAGCCTCTGAAAACCTGCTAGAGCACCAACTAAGGTAAAAACCAGATGCTCTGCTGGAGGAGGGAAAAATCTCCTGTGCCAGGCAGATCCAATTTGTTGGAACACAACAAGGGGAAGAGAGAGAAA